ACTGCTGTCCCAATACTCTCCCACCCCACTCCACCATCTGCAGACCCACTGTCAAAGTCTCCTGCTCAAAGCATGGCCTTTCTGCAGGAGCAGACCTAGTTTGCATGGAAGATCTGTGTGGTCTTAGAAAGTCTTGATGGGGCATTGCAACGAATCTGAACTCAAATCCCATTCATAAAGGGTAGTGAGCCAGAACATCATCTCATGGACCTAGAGAGCCGCACTGGCGTATAAGTGCAGTGCTGTCACCCCCACTACAACCTCAAAGGAGTAAGGTGGGTGGTGCAATCGTTCCCCCTTGCAGCTTTCTGCCCCTCCTTATATCCCAGCCACCGGTACCTCGATTTCTTTGTCAGATGTTTCAATCTTGAAGGGACGGATACTTTCATCTTCTTTCCCTTTTAGGGGTTTTTCACCTGAGCCCCACCATCCATCGCCCATCTCAATAGTCTTGATCTTGGATCTAGACCTCAGCCAGTAAACCAGCACCCCTCCAGCCCCCAGGGCAGCTGCAGAGAGCAAGACTGCATTCTTCTGAGAATATTCCACAGACCTGGGGAGGCATCAGATTGTTTGTGTTCAACAACAGAAGTTTCAAGGGTGAAGGGACTATGCTGAGACTTGTTTCACATCAGCTGGGCCTGAGCAGTAATAAATGCCCACACATCCCACTGAGTCAGCAGGGGCTGGGAGGTTCTGTTATTTTTTAAGATCACAGGCAAGATTTGGGGTGGAGTTACATCTACCAGGGCTTCTTAGAGACCTCAGGTCCTTGTTGATTACAAGGCTTCCTCATCCCTCTCCTGGTGCTCTGGGTGACAAGGGTCAATAGGATATGGGCCAATCAATCTATTTTAAGGCAGGTTTGGGACTGAATGAGATAGTACCAGCTGGAATAACAACTCCAGACAGAATAGGTAGAGGAGCAGAGACAAAGCTCTGCGGCTGCTGGAGAAAGCTGGCTGTGTTGCAGATGCTACTCTTGGCAGTGCTTTATACACAGCTCCCCTACAGATTCAGTTGTTTTTTTGGGCAACACTGGCCCTCCACCATAGCTTTCCATGGGTAAGGGTCTCAGTTTGTCTGTGTGGTGCCCCTGTTTCTATTCTAGACTGCAAGGTTTCAGGCTTTCTTGAGGTGTGAGAGCCAAGTCATCAGAGTTCATTTTTACAGACATGCAGAATGTTTCAGAATTGTTCAAATGCTTGAGCAGTTAGTTCTAAATGCAGTGTATCTTCCCATCCTTCTAACCTGTTCCCCAAGCTCTCCAGATTCCCTTGGATATTAGTTAGAGGTGTCTGGAACGATTTCAAGGGGCCACGAGGGGCTGTGAATGAAGATTTTGCTGTTGTTGTTGTCATACAGGATAGGGAGGAGGTTGTGCTGTGCCTCAACCAGGTTGCTAATAAAAAATGGAGGCCTTAGCACAGAGCAGCTATTTCACTCACCTGATCTGGGACAAGATGCTCTCCCTACAAATGGGAAAGAAAAAAAAAAATCCTTATCAGTTGATAGTGTTATAGTGTTGTCTGATTGGTGCCAACACATGGTGCAAAGAGCATCACCTTACTGCTCAGCCAAGGGGATCACAAGCTGTTAAGCCTCCTGGCAACTGTGTTAACTCCTGAGGAAAAGCTGCAATCCCTGTAGGAACATATACTCCAACCCTAGAAGACATCCATTAAGAATGTTGTTGAAATAAGTTTCTTGGGGAAAGTCTATAAAGACCTTCTGATTCTGGCAACTGCGCCACAGGCAGTTGGTAAATTTTCCCCACAGCAACCCACTTTGTGGTCTGTACACAAAGCTGAAGAGCTTCACATGTATTTGGATCTTTTTGTGTTTCAGAATGTTATACCCAAAGATGAGCAAAGTAGAGCCAACTTTGTACACAGTTCAATCTTGAAATGACCCACAACCTCCCACCTCATAAAACCACCAACAACTCGCAACCCACAAAACCTTACCATGCCCACCACAGCATGTCCTGAAGTGCCACATCTACGTGTTGCTTGAATACCTCTGGGCATGGTGACTCCACCACCCTCCTGGGCAGCTCTCCTAGTGCCTGATCAGTCTTTCAGGAAGGAAACTATTCCTAACATGCAGTCTAAACCTCCCCCAGTGCAACTTCAGGCCATTTCCTCTGCTCCTTTTGTTATCCACGTGGGAGAAGAGGCCAAGGCCTGCTTCACTACAACCTCCTTTCAGGTAGCTGTAGACAGCAATGATGTCTCCCCTCAGCCTCCACTTCTCCAAATAAACAAACCCAGTTCCCTCAGCCTCTCCTCATAGGCCAGATGCCACACCTCTTTCTGAAAGTGTAAAATGAGCTAGCTCATCTTTCCTTTAGAATTGGTGGTACCAGCTTAGCAAATAACTCACTCAAGAGGAAAGGTCAACTGGTGCCATTTGCAAAGAAGACAACTCTCCACCTTGTTTGTATTATCAATTGCTTGGAGAATTCTGGTCAGCCTCTCTTACAGTCATCTGAAAGCCAGTGGCTGCTAGAAGATGCTTGATTTAAAGTGCTGCTCTCCAAATTGCTTCCCCAAGTTTGTGCTTAGCAGTTGTAGTTCTTGATTTATCCACCAGTAAGCCACATTCTCCCTAATTCAGTTTAAACTTCTCTCCTAGGAATGCTCCTGGTTTTCTGTTTTGCTTTCACTGAACTGAGCCACAGATTACATTTGTTAGGTTATAAGTACATAGGCCTGTATTTTGAACAGAAACAAGATCGAGTAGACTTCTAAGTCTTCTGCGTTGCCTTGGCCACGAGCTGCCTTGTGTTCAAAAGGGACCCTTAACTATAGTTGTGAAAAGGAATTAAGGGTTTGTGGGTTTTTCTAACCAGTTACATTAGCTGTTGTAAATTACCTAATTATACAGGCAAGTGTGGCTCAATCTCATTTGCACATCTCTTGTGCCTGCCACTTCCTTACCTGGCATGGGCATCTAGAGTAGGGTCACTGGCAAAATTCTCCTTGTAGTATCTCATGGAGGACACAATGGAGGATGTCACCCAATAAATCATCACATTGGTCAAAAGCTCATCAAGAGAGTATTTGCTGTCAAGAGAGAAAGATTAAGACATTGAATTAGAAGTTGTTTCTCCATATGCCATGGTGGACCTGCACCCCGAAGAACAGTTGTTCCTCTTGTTCCCCACTCATTTTCAGGTAGAAAATTCATCAGCACTCATGTGCCCAGAGCAAAACTGTCTGGTGCTGAAGCAGTGGTTAGCAGGCAGTCTCTCTACATTTAAACTTCTGTTTGTCACACGTCATCTTTCATCTTAAAATTCAACTTTGGCTGGCCTTTTTATTTTTTTTAATCTGTCTCCTCATTAGTTATCATCACTCCCTATTTTAATGAGCCTTCCCATGGAAGAGCATCTGTTTTCTTACCTTTCCAAGCCTCCATCATCTTTATGCCGAAATGATTTATCTGTCCAGGTTGAGAATTTCTCCAAAATATATGCAGCAAGCCCCACAGGGGAGTCATTCAGCCCACAACCTAACTCAGGAGAAGAACGGGAAAGCTGGTTCAGTTGCCTGGTATTGCAATGCTTCAGTGGTAGTTAAACTGCACTTTCATGAATTCTTCAGAGTTTTCAATGAGAATTTGGTAGAGAGTGTTCTTTTACTATCCCTGTTGGTATTTTATTCTTAACAATTTAGCCCCAAAGAGGTTCCAGCTGGAACTGTAACTAACCACAACAAGTTCAGGTAATTCCCATATCAAAGAAGCTAGGAGCTAAGACAGTCCTGTTGGGCTTCCTGGTGTTGTGTGGCAGAAGGAGCAAATTCAGAGTTGAAGGGATTACGTGGTGAAAAGAAATGTCAGATAAACTATTTGGGAGC